AGAGCAACCAAAAGAAGAAAAAATGTGAGATTCGTTTTTTTTTTGCACCAATTTTGTTTTTGCTAATTGCTGCTTGCATTCTTAGTTTTGTTGTTGTTCTCGATTTTTATCTAATGTCAATATGACCGAAATGCGAAATGTAAAAGAAAAAAACATGCTAATACCTGCGTGTTATAGACCAGCCAACCAAGCCATTCCATCACAATCAGTTATCAGCAGCCCATCAGTCGGTTGTTGTTTGTCAATCCGTTTAGTTGTGTTGAATTAGAAAATAACTCTTCTTCGAGGAAATTAAATGTAACCGATTTAAAAACATTTTGAAGTCTTTTTTGTGTTACAAAATAATATAAAGATTGAAGTGAACAATTTGTGTTTTTTTTTTTTTTTTAATTGATGGAATTACATTTTTGTGTGCTATGAGTTCGCAAAATTTATCGTTGAAATCAGTAAAGGTGAGAAAGAAATTCCATAGGTTTTCAATTTTGAAATTGTTTGCCGTACTATGTGGCGTATGAGTGCTAATATTGATTATACGTACGTTTTTTCTGTTAGAAATTATAATAAAATTGACTTCTTGTATAGAAAATGTAAGCCAAATTAATTTTTTCTTTGGAAAACATTAGCTGAATTAGGTTTTTTTGTAGTTACATTTTTGAGAATCGACGAAAAATGTTGCTGAATAATTTTTCCAAAAGAAAATATAGCTGAATTGAGTTTTTCCTGTTGTAATAGTTAGCTAAATTGACATATACCATAGAGAAAGTTAGCTGAATTTAGATTTTCCATAGAAAAATGTAAAATTAATTGATTTTCTATAGAGACATTTTAGCTGAATTAACTTATTCACAAAAAAGGTAGCTGAATTGTATTTTTCTGCTGAAGAAGTTATGAAAACTTAAACTTTCATAGGAAAAATTAGCTAAATTGTATTTTTCTGCGGAAAAATATTATCTGATTTTTGTTTTTCAAAAAAAAAAAAAAAACTTAGATGAATTGAAATTTGTTTTTAAGTCAGCTGAATTTAGTTTTTCAGCTTGCTGAATTTAATTTTCCATAGAATAATGTTAGAAGAATTATTTTTTCTTTAAGAATAGTTTTAATTTAGCTAATTTTTCAATAGAAATCCTCAATTCAGCTAACTTTTGCTACAGAAAAAATCAATTCAGCTAAATTGCATATACTAATACTCAATTCAGCTAACTTTTGCTACAGAAAAAATCAAATGAGCTAAATTGCATATAATTTTTCTATAAAAAATGTTGGCTGAATTGACTTTTCCAAAGAAAAAGATTAGCTGAATTGCATTTTCTATAGAAAAAGTTAGCTGAATTGACTTTTTCTAATGAAAAAGTTAGCTGAATTGATTTTTTCCATTGAAAAAGTTAGCTCAATTGTCTTTTCTATAGAAAAAGTTAGCTGAATTGTCTTTTTCTATTGAAAAGTGAGCTGAATTGACTTTTTCTATTAAAAAAGTTAGCTGAATTGACTTTTCCCATTGAAAAAGTTAGCACAATTGACTTTTTCATATAGAAAAAGGTAGTTGAATAGACTTATTTAATAATATATGCTAGCTGAATTGGCGCTTTCTGTAGCTGAATTGATTTTTGCTGTAGTAAAAGTTAGCTGAATTGTCTTTTTCTATTGAAAAAGTGAGCTGAATTGACTTTTTTCCATTGAAAAAGTAGCACAATTAGCTTTTTTATATAGAAATGTAGTTGAATAGAAATGTATTTGAATAGACTTATTTAATAATATATACTAGCTGAATTGGCGCTTTCTGTAGAAATTAATTAATTGATTATTTCTATGGTCAATGTTAGCTGAATTGATGTGATTTCTAAAAACAAGTTTAAATGATTTACTTTTTGTTGGAATGTCGCTGCATTGATTTTATGTTGGCTGAATTGACTTTTTCTATAGTAAAAGTTAGCTGAATTTACACGTTACATAAAATTGAATTAGCTGAATTGTGTCTTTCTATCGAAAAAAAAACAATTCAGCAAACATTTATAATAGAAAAAATCAATTCAGCTAATTTTTACTACAGAAAAAATCAATTCAGCTAAATGTTTCCCCCATGAAAATGTCAATGACATCATAGTGTGCGACATTTTTTCTCCAGCATTTCACGATAAATCACGCAAAAAAGAACTATGATTGATTTCCCTCCCCCGACAATTTATCTAAGAAATAAATACTAACAACAAGAACAACAACAAAACAAAAGTAAAGTCCCAATTAATGAGAAACCTTATCGATGGGTAAATGATTTGTTATTCCATTCCGATGGTGTAATATGTTTGTTCGCAAATAAAATTAGCTGTATTGAAAAAATTGGGGTTGGAGGTGTACTTAGAGGTAGGTAGGTAAGCAAATCGGTATTAGTGATAGGAAGAGATAACATTATTACCGCACCGCACACATGTCGCACAGATCCACACACACACGTGTGGAAAATATTGGCTATTGATTTTTGTTTTGCAAAGGTAAATAAATGCGAAATATTGGCTCATAAATAGTTCGGCCATAGGGAATCCATTGCATTCGATAGACAATATATTTGCTAGGGGGATATACAATATATAGAATTGGAATATATAGAATGATTGATTATGAAATATGCTAGCTAAAAAAAATGAATTGTCTTTAATAATTCATAAAATATAGTAGCTGAATTGACTTTTTATATGGAAAAACTCAGCTGAATTGGCTTTTTCAATAGAAAAAGCTAATATAGTTGACTCTTATGATAGCTGAATTAACTTTTACTATGAAAATCACTAGCTGAATTAGGGGTTTCTAAAGAAAAACATTGGTGAAATACGGAGAAACTAATTTTTCAATAAAAAAAGTTAGCTGAATTGCATTTTTCTATAGAAATAGATAGCTGAATTAAGTATTTCTATTGAAATACCTAATGAATTAACTTTTTCTATTAAAGATGTTGGATAAATTGTTATTTAATATAGAAAATGTCTGTTGAATTGGATTTTTTCTATAGAAAAACATTGCTGAATTGAATTTTTCCATAGAAAAACATTGCTGAATTGAATATTTCTATTAAAATAGTTGCTGAATTTAGTTGTTCTATAGAAAAAGTCAGCTGAATTGAGTTTTTTTATATCCATGAGTTCATTATTTCTGTAGAAAATTGTAGATGAACTTACTTTTTCTATAGGAAAACTCCGCTGAATTGTTTTTTCCATAGGAAAAGTTAGCTGAATTGAATTTTTCTAAAGGAAATAAAGTTGTTCTATCTAAAAACCTGATAAATTGGATTTTTGTATTAAATTGTTATTTTTAAGAAAAAACATTAGCTGAATTGGACTTTTTCCACAAAAAAACCCCGCTGAATTGTTTTTTTTTATACGAAAAGTCAGCTGAATTGGTGTTTTTCAAAGAACATCCCCGTTGAATTGTGCTTTTCGGTAGAACAAGTCAGCTGAATTGAGTTTTTCTGTAGAAAATGTCAGCTGAATTGAGTTTTTTTATTAAAAAAGTCGCTAAAATTTGATTTTCTAAAAAAAAAACTTTGCTCAATTGAGTTTTTCTATAGAAAGAGTTAGCTGAATTGATTTCTTTACAGAAGACCACAGCTGAATTCTGTTTTTCTGTAGAAAAAGTCTGCTGAATTGAGTTTTTCTACAGAAAAAATCTGCTGTATTGAGTTTTCCTACAGAAAAAGTCTGCTGAATTGTGCTTTTCTCTGAAATAAAGTCGATAAGTTTTGATTTTCTATAGAAAATCAATTGAATTTTTCTATGAAAACACTTCGTCGACTTCACTAATTCTTTATAAAATGTTTGCTGAATTGTCTGTTTTTACAGAAAAACTACGCTGAGTTGATGTTTTTATAGAAAAAGTTAGCTGAATTGAATTTTTCTACAGAAAAAGTCAGCTGAATTAACTTTTTCGGTAGAACAAGTCTGCTGAATTGAGTTTTTCTACGAAAAAGTAGTTAAAATTGGATTTTCTATAGAAAAACGTCGCTCAATTGAGCTTTTCTAAGAAAATACTTCAGTGACTTCACTCATTCGTTATAAAATGTTTGCTGAATTGAGTTTTTCTATAGAAAATGTCTGCTGAATTGAGTTTTTCTGAAGAAAAACTCTGCTGAATTGAGGTTTTCTATAGAAAAAGTCTGCTGAATTGAGTTTTTCTACGAAAATACTTCGCTGAATTCACAATTTCGTTAGAAAATGTTAGCTGAATTGACTTTTCTATCGAAAAAATCCGCTGAATTCGATTGAAAATGCTTACTGAGTTAAGTTTTCGTTCGGAAAACATTAGTTGAATTGAGTTTTTCTATTGAAAAACTTTGCTGAATTTAATTTTTTTCAATATTTTTGCCTAATTGCTTTGAAACAAATTGTAAATATTTAAACCAATATTGCAAAATATGTTGCACCTTAATTTTTTGCATGTTCATTTTGTTTCTGTGTTTATTTTTCGTCCTTTTTTGTTTATGTGTATGCCTGTGTGAATTTGCCTTGTGTGTTTGTTTTCGTTCAAAGTTAAATGAAAATCGGAACTTTGTTGTTTTTCTCCCCGTTTGATTGCTGTTTGTGTTGTTAAGTCAAATGGAAAGCTGCTTGTTAAATTACTTGAAAACTGTTATTCAAATTTACTTATCCCTTTTTTTGATTCAAAAGATTTTTTTTAATTTTTTAACAACAACAAAATTTATTAACCCCAACAACATTCATTTATTTTTAAGCCTCTTTTTATTAATTTTTGTAAATTTTCTTTCTTTTTTTTGTCTTTGTAATTAACATTGATTATAATTTTTTTGTTTGTCTTTTTGTTCTCTTCTTATTCGTATCCTTCCATGCGGAAATTTTGAAAAAAAAATTGTTTGCCTTGATACGCTCGTGCTGCCTGCCTGCCGCAAAATGAAAAAAATCTATGTCTTTAATGCTTTGCTCTGCAATGAATTGTGTTTTTTTGTGGTCATCTTGTGGTTAACAACAACAACAACAACGGATATTGAAATTTAACAGATCAACGAAGCTCTGGAATTGGCGCTGGCGGCAATTGACAAAGAGTCCAGCCACCACCAGCCGCACCACCCGACCAACGAGGAATATTTCCCACAGCCACAAACTGTCCCATCCAGTAATAATGCAAACAACAACAATACTACAGCCATTGGCAGCAACAACAACAATACCTTGCTAATGGTCCAAGATCCACAGCTAATCTTGACAAATAAAACCGATGAAGAAAAACAATTTCTAAGCGGAGAAGCGGTGGAAATTCAACAGAAATCCGAGGAGGAAATATCCAAGGAGCCAATATATGAGAATGTTAATATGCAACAAGATTTACAACAGCAACAACAACAAACAATCATTCCAAGTATGAATCCACAACAACAACAATCTGAACTAAATCAAAATAATGAGGAAAAGTCCCAACAAAATTGTAGTCAAATTAATCAAAGTCAGACAACAACAACAACAGCGCCAATTTTAGCCGCTAACAATAACAGTAACAATAACAACAACAACAATAATAATCATGATAATAATAATATTGTAGTTGAGTTAACAAATGCTTTTGCTAATACAACATTATTAACAACAACAACAATGAACACAACAACTGCAGCTCAAAATTCCGCTGTAGATAGCGACACACTAACAAAAACAACCAACAACAGCAACAACAATACCACCACAATGTTTAGTGAAAATGTACCCATTGAACAGACTAAAGCAAATATGAACAACAACAACATGAACACCAACACCACCACCACTGATGTTCCCGATTCCACCCTCAACCAACTGATCGAACCCATTGAACCCTATTATCAAGTACCAAAATCCTGTGAACCCTATTATGATGCTCCCAAACATTTGAAACCCATACCGGTCTATGAAAATATTGAGATTTTCTTTAATGGTAATGGCCTGGCCGGCGATGAATCCTCCACCCACTTGGAACCACCCAAAGAAAAGCCACCACCACCACCCATTGAAAGTCCACCACTATTCGATGATGTCGACAGTAGCCATACCACCGATACTTATTCATCATCGGAAAACACCTATGAAACTCTGACCCGACATCAACTCAATCATCATCTGCAATATCAGCAGCAACAACAACAACAATCGCAACCACTTCATCCAGATCATCCTTCACCTCCGATGAAGCGCATGAATTCCACCAAGCGCATAAAGAAAGAGCTACGCAATAAACGTTCCAGTTTTTTGGGTATCGAAGGCAGCTCAATGGATGATGATGATTCGTATTTGGAATTGACGGTCGCGCCACCACCCGATATGGCCCAGTTGCTGCAGGAGGAGCGGCGCTTGGAGAAACAAATGTACTTAAAGGCTGGATTGTGTGACAGTTCGGATACGGGTAAGTTTGAAATTATTTAAATTTTCAAATTTGAAATGGTTCCAACATGTCCATAAAAATAGAAAATACCCTGCTAAAAATTATGGCAACTTCATTTGGTAAATACGCCGCCACTATAGAAATTATTCCCCCCAGGGTTCCTTTTATCCTCTGAGAAATCGAATCTCCCAAAAACATGCAATGCTATTAGAAAATTTAATACCTATAGTCTCAGGTTACCTTTTAGCCTCAAAGAATCCGAATTTCCAAATGACAGGCATTTGGAAAAAATTAACCTGTACAGAAAAATTTTATTCCGGAGGTATTTTCTGCTTTAAGAAGCCGCAATATAAAATTGCAACCTCTGAGAATCCGTATTTCCAAATGATAGACAATCGGAAAAAATTATAGGCACTTGAAAAAAAATGACCCGTACAGAAAAATTTCAGTCAGGAGGTATTTTCTGCTTTAAGAACTCGAAATATGAAATAAAAAATTTTGTCGTCTTAGAGCCTGAAATATCAAATTGCAACCGATTCGGTTTTCATATGGAGATTTGCTACGCAATGATAACCCTTTATATCAAATTACAGCCAATTCGATTGAAAAACGTGCCCATGAACTCCAAAATACCGAATATTGGGCGGTACCGTTTATGGAGTCTACCCTCAAACTTGTACTGGTAGGGAGATTTTTCCTTCTGTGTAGCAACTTCTTATTAAATTTCTGCAGACATATTAATTAAGTACACATTATCCCCAGGTCAGGTCACCAACCGAACTACTTAGTAATACAACATTGTTGTGCCATAGAATTGTTTTGCTTTTTATACCCTTCACCACACTGTGGTACAGGGTATTATGTCTTTGTGCATATGTTTGTAACAGGCAAAAATAATCGAGATAGACACATGGTTCCTTTTGAGAATATGCATAGAATCACTTTCTAAGTCGATTTATGCATGTCCGTCCGTCTGTCCGTCTGTCTGTCCATGTTAAATTGTAAACAAAGTACAGGCCGCATTTATTATCCGAATTGGATAAAAATTGGTATAGGTCACTTATTCGGCCCAAGGACGAACCCTATTGAAATTGGGAAAAATCGGTTCAGATTTAGATATAGCTCCCATATATATATTTAACCGATTTAATGTAAACGATCCCTATATATCTTTCGATTTGCACGAAATTTGGTACAGCCTAATCATTTAGGTCTAGAATGATGTCTGCCAATTTTCGTGAAAATCGGTCCAGATTTAGATATAGCTCCCATATATAGTTTCGTCCGATTTCATGTAAATGGTGCACCAAAATCCCTATATATCCTTCGATTTGCACCAAATTTGGCATAACGTACTGAATTGAGCCTAGAATTATGTCTGCCAAGTTTCGTGAAAATCGGTCCAGATTTATATATAGCTCCCATATATAGTTTCGTCCGATTTCATGTAAATGGTGCACCAAAGTCCCTATATATCCTTCGATTTGCACCAAATTTGGCATAACGTACTGAATTGAGCCTAGAATTATGTCTGCCAAGTTTCGTGAAAATCGGTCCAGATTTATATATAGCTCCCATATATAGTTTCGTCCGATTTCATGTAACTGGTGCACCAAAGTCGCTATATACCTTTCGATTTGCACGAAATTTGGCATAACGTACTAAGTTGAGCCTAGAGTCATGTCTGCCAAGTTTTGAGAAAATCGGTTCAGATTTAGATATACCTCCCATATATAGTTTCGTCCGATTTAATGTAAATGGTGCCCCAAAGTCCCTATATATTTTTCGATTTGCACGAAATTTGGCATAACCTACTGAATTAAGCCTAGAGTGATATCTGCCAAGTTTCGAGAAAATCGGCCCAGATTTATATATAGCTCCCATATATAGTTTCGTCCGATTTCATGTAAATGGTGCACCAAAGTCCCTATATATCCTTCGATTTGCAAGAGATTTGGCATAACGTACTGAAATGAGCCTAGAGTGATATCTGCCAAGTTTCGAGAAAATCGGTCCAGATTTTTATATAGCTCCCATATATAGTTTCGTCCGATTTCATGTAACTGGTGCACCAAAGTCGCTATATACCTTTCGATTTGCACGAAATTTGGCATAACGTACTGAGTTGAGCCTAGAGTCATGTCTGCCAAGTTTTGAGAAAATCGGTTCAGATTTAAATATACCTCCCATATATAGTTTCGTCCGATTTAATGTAAATGGTGCACCAAAGTCCCTATATATCCTTCGATATGCAAGAGATTTGGCATAACGTACTGAATTAAGCATAGAGTGATGTCTGCCAAGTTTCAAGAAAGTCGGTCCAGATTTATATATAGCTCCCATATATAGTTTCGTCCGATTTCATGTAAATGGTGCACCAAAGTCCCTATATATCCTTCGATTTGCAAGAGATTTGGCATAACGTACTGAAATGAGCCTAGAGTGATATCTGCCAAGTTTCGAGAAAATCGGTCCAGATTTCTATATAGCTCCCATATATAGTTTCGTCCGATTTCATGTAAATGGTGCACCAAAGTCGCTATATACCTTTCGATTTGCACGAAATGTGGCATAACGTACTGAATTGAGCCTAGAGTTATGTCTGCTTTTTTCGTGAAAATCGGTCCAGATTTAGATATAGATTGATTTTAAGTAATTGACGCACCAAGGAACCAATAGGCTGATAGGAACAAAACTTTCTGAAATTAGAACAACCTAACCTGTGACTAGTTTGTTTCAAATCGCTTAATATTTGGATAGAGCTTCCATATATATTTTCCCCCGGTTTCAAGTAAATTGGGCATCAAACTGTTCATGTTAGTCAGATTTTTCTTCGGTCATTTGTTCTGGGTTTTGTAATCCACTTAGTAGTTTGACGAAAGGTTAAGGGTGAACATATAAGGAAATGTTAAATTCTGACGAAAAAAATCCCTAAAAATATTCTTTGAAGAATTCGCATTTGTTATAGGCCCCTGAAAATATTCTATGAAAATGCTACGCTTGTTGTAGGTCCCTGAAAATATTCTATTAAAATGCTACGCTTGCTATAGGTCGCTGAACATATTCTATAAAAATGTAGGGCCCCAAAAGTATACTTTAAATGTAGGGCCTCAAAAGTATACTTTAAGGAAATCCACGCTTATTGTAGGCGCCTGATAATATTCTTCAAAAAATCCCCCTCAACATATCCATTAAAATACCTACGGTTATTGTAGGCCCCTGAAAATATTCTTTAAAATACCTACGCTTTTTGTTGGCCCCAGAAAGTATTCTTTAAAAAAATCTCGATTGTTGTAGATCCCTGAAAATATTCTGTACGCGTATTGTATGCCGCAGAAAATATTCTTTGAAATATCTAAGCTTATTGTAGGCCCCTGAAAATATTCCTTAAACAAATTCCCCGGAAAATATTGCTTATTACTTATTGCAGGCCCAGAACATATTCTTTTAAATATTCTCGCTTATTAACGGTCGTTAAAAAATCCACAGTTCCTGTAGGTCTCTGAAAAATATTCTTAAACAAATCCACACTTATAGTAGATCCCTGAAAATATACATTAAAAATATCCACACTTATTGTCGACCCCTAACAATATTCTTTAAAATATCCACATTTGTACGTGGCCACTTCAAAACAATCACGTTTATTGCAGCCCCCTGAAAATATTCTTTACAATGTCCAAGCTTATTCTTCGCGTCTGAAAATATTCCTTAAAATATCTGTATTGTAGGCCCCTGAAAATAATTCTTTAAAATATCTACCTATTTTTTTATTTACAC